AACTATCATAACCATATTATAACCATACAAATTTGTAGTATTATTAGTTAACTTTAACTTATTTAACTTTACTTTTATTCATGTTTTGCATAAATTATTTAGTTATTTAATTTTTATATTTAAAATGAAAATTAGATTTATATTTGGCAAAACATAAAATTTGATTTTCTTTCTAATTTACAGGCAAGGGTCGAGTACTAAATAGTACACTGCCGTTTAACACACAGAAAAACGGTGACACATATATAATAGGATTTGCGTAATCCTGCGTGTTGAATAAGTGATATAAGGGATTTTAAAAGTATTTAAAACTTATTTACTTATCTGAGCCTAATCCTGAATGGGTATTTAAGTCTAGCACATTGATAGGTGGTGTAGGGTTCTTGATTGCTGAATCTGTGGGCGTTGAAAAATCGCAATGTGTTTGTGTCCAGTACTAAACATAATCTGCAGTTAAACTCTCTACCAGGGCTGTGCGACAAAATTTTTTCAAGGAACGCCAAACGCTAAACGGCATTTTTTCAAATTTTTAAAACACGCCAAACGCAAAACGCCAAAAATCGGCCAAAATGGACGCTAAACGCAAAACGCAAAACGCCACACGCTAAAATTTTTTTAATTTATAGAGGCAAAAAAAAATTTTTTTTTCAAAAAATATTCCAAAAAAACCGGAATACATGTCTTTTTAGCGCCGCAGGCGAAATTTTTGAATTTTCATGACTCACTGCACTTAATCTCCTTAAATCCTTGACTCACCAAATCCCCCTGTATCCCCGATATACCTCAGAATCGTTATCATGCTGGAGAAATGGGCTCCAGTGTCGCGTCTCAACGCGAATTATAAATTTAATTAAAAATATAAATTTTATTGAAATTACTCATCCACAAAACAATTTCCCAGACTTTATCTAACATAATCATCTTAAAGTTTTTTATGTTCGCTGGCCTTATTTAAATGACTTTCACGTTCCTACCAGCGGTTTTTTTCCCTTCAATCACTTTTGTTTTAGTGCCTTCTTTTTACACACATTTTTCTTCCTGCTTTTTAATCAATTGTAATTTTTTGAATTAAAAGAAAATAAATATATTTTGTTGTGTGTGGAAAATTTAAGTAAAGTGTTTTAATTAGCGTTAACTGAGCCTAACGCTAAAGCTCAGCCGGTGACCTGTTCCGGACTATTTCCTAATCCCCCTGCGTTCTGCGGAATCTACGCATACGGACTTCCCGCTCTTAACACATTTAAATTTTTAAATTATTTTTCACATAATTCGCCATGTCAGCTCCCTTCCGTGACCAGCTCATTCTTTTACAAGAGCAGGGTCTTGAAATCCTTGATAATCAAAAAACCTTTCCACTCCCACCTGACACTATAAGTATTTCACAATTCCACTCAGACACCCGCAAATTGTTAAGCTCTTTAGAAATTGAGCTTGAGTATGTTTCTGAAACAATTTCAGATATTTCCTCCACACATGAAAAATGGATGTTGGTCAGAACAAATATGACCGGAGCGGAGCGAACCGCCGACACACCCATTTATGAAAATTTTGTGACCACCACCCCATATTTAGGTACATTATTTCAACTGAAAAAATATATGAAAACTCTCCGCACTTCCCGACAAACTCTACTTTCCGCTCTTCCAGATCCCAATCAACCCACACAATCACATATGCACTTGCCGAAAATATCGCTTCCCAAATTTTCGGGCAATTGTATTGAATATGTTTCTTTTTGGAATTCATTCTGTGCCGGAGTCCACGACTTAACCACTCTTTCCAATTCGGTAAAATTCGCGTATCTAAAAGAATGTTTAAGTGGACCGGCTCTTTTACTTGTCAAATCACTCCCACTCACCGATGCTTCTTACAATGAAGCCATTCGACTTTTAAAAGAAAATTACGGACAACCCGATGAAATAAACCGTAATTTGCACATTTCCCTTCGAAAATTACCAATTGTCCATTCCAACCACGGACCTGAAATTTTATGTAAAGAACTCTCGACATTTGTCGATGAGTTCGAAATTATTTATTTGCAAATGTTAGAACAGGAATTCGACAACAACACGCTCTCTATACAAATGGAAATTGAAGGAAAACTACCCCCACCAATTTTGGAAGAAATACTCAAGGCAAAGGAAGCTGGTAATTGGAGCACCGATAAATTACGTAATGTTTTAAAAACCATCCTTAAACGTAAATTAGGGGTAACCGCAATAAGGGACCAAAATAGAGAATTCCACTCCCCCATGAAACCGCCCAAAATTAATAAATTTTTCACACCTTCACGGTCCCATTCTGACTCCTTTTCCCCGCCAAATCAATCACACGAACAGAGTTCCTCGCTTTCGTTTGCTACTCAGAGAAGAGAGCAAAATAAGCTTTCTAAACCAACTATTAGTCCAAAATTACCTTGCCTGTTTTGTGAAGACGCTGGACACTTTTCGTCCAATTGCTTAAAATTTTCCGATATAAATTCAAGACACTCCCGACTTAGAGCTCTTAGAAGATGTTTTAGGTGCCTGAAGCCAAATCATTTTGCTAGTAACTGTCCTTCGCCCAGTAAATGCTCTCAATGTCACGGTAATCACCCCCGACCATTATGTCCTAGGAATTTGAAAAATGGTAACCAACAGACTAACAATATTCAATCCACATCCGCCCCTAATAAATACACTCCAATACACACTAACCAAATTTCCCCATTATTTCCGAACTCAAACTCACCTCCCTCATATTTCCCTTACCAAAATTTCCAACCATATCCGGGGTTTAACCCTTATGTTTATAACAACATGTACACCCCCTCGCAAATCCCCATACAAAATTTAAGCATTAAGCCAGCAACGACTCCACAGGCAAATGAAATGGAAAACAACACGAAAGACAACCATCAAATAAACGTTTCTACCAGCACAGTGCAGAATAATTCCAACCCAATATTGCTGAAATGTGTTTGCGCAAAAATTTTTAATCCTGCCTACTCAGCAATTAGTAAAGAATTAATTATCCTACTTGACGACGCCAGCACAAATTCCTACATTCGAACAGAAGAAGCTAGGTCCTTGAAATTGACACTGGAAGAAACAACTATGAATTTGGGAGTGTTTAACAACCCGAAATTCAAGCCAACACAAACTTATTCCACTACATTTGGAATCCAATTGCTGAATGGCCGGATCTTACAGGTCAAAGCTAATACATTAGACCACCTCACCCACAGTACCTCGTACTTACCGTTTAGCCCTGAGGTACTTCAATATAACGATTTAACACCCGCAATTAACTCTACCTGCCCAACCATTTTATTAGGTAGTGATTTTTATTATGAATTAGAACCTACACCGATTTGCCGTTTGCCTTCGGGTTATCACTTGATCCAAACGCTACTCGGCCCAATAGTTGCCGGAAAGTCCTTTAAACACACATACCAAAAAATGTATAACACGATGACTAATTTTTGTGTCCAAAGCACTCCGTTCGAGCCAAATCCCGACTTTTTTACACTAGAAGGTATTGGCATAACTGACCCTCCACCTGCACTTACGGAGGATGAAATTTTCCTAAAATTTAAAAAAGAAATCCGCTTTATTAACAATCGATATGAGGTAAAATTCCCATTCAAAGCAGATCCTTCCACAATTTCACTGCCATCTAACTATGGCCTTTGTTACGGACGACTTCGTTCGGCTTTAAAAATTTTAAATAAAGACACTGCTTTACTAACAAAATATAATAACATTATCCAAGAACAATTGAAACTTGGAATTATTGAACCGGTAATAGACCCCACCCAATATTCACCACCCCTCCATTATCTCCCACACCAGCCCGTAATTACCCACAAACTTAGAATTGTATATGATGGATCAGCGCACATTGGAAAAGAAAATTCGCTGAATGACACATTAGAACCCGGCCCCGTAATTTTACCAGATTTAGTCGGAATTTTACTCCGATTTCGTATCCCACAAATTGTAATTATAACAGACGTAATGAAAGCGTTTCTCCAAATTTCCGTCCACCCCTCACACCGAGACGCAACCCGATTCATTTGGCTCAAATCGATTGAAAAGCCATTAACTAATAATAATTTACAAATTTATCGCTTTACTAGAGTCCCTTTCGGCCTTTGCTGCTCGCCATTCCTATTGGGAGCTACTATTTTACACCACCTTTCACAACACCCTTCAGCCCTTTCAAACGAAATTAGCAATAACACATACGTTGACAATATTGTCTTTTCCGCTCAACATGTCACAGAAGCTCAAACTAAAGTACTTGCGGTAAATGAGCTTTTCCAAAAAGCAAATATGGAACTACAAGAGTTCGCTAGTAATTTCAAAGAAGCTCTTGATCCCATTCCTGAGACAAAAAGATTAAAAGGACCCTCACAAAAAATTCTTGGCCTTTGTTGGAACACCGATTCCGATTCATTTGAAATGAAAATAAAACCATTCCCTCCAACACCCATACTAACTAAAAGAAAAATTCTGGCCTTTATAGCCTCACACTTCGACCCTTTAGGCTTAATCACACCACTAATTTTACCGTTAAAAATTTTTATGCAATCACTATGGGAAAATAAACTTAAATGGGACGACCAACTTCCAGTGGATTTGGTTGAAAAATGGAATACTCTATTAAAAGAATGGACTGATGAAACACCTATTAACATCCCACGACGACTCTCCAATTCAAATCAACACCAGAAATTCCAACTACACTGCTTTACAGACGCTTCTGAAGCAGCAATGTGCGCAGCGATATTTATGAGAATTGAAAACTTGCCTGGTGGTAAAACGGACGTGAGACTTATTTTTAGTAAAACGAAAGTAAAGCCTATAAAAACGAAACGGACCATCCCCCAATTAGAATTAATCGCAATTTTAATGGGCACAAAAGCCCTTCAATTTGTGTATAAACATTTAGAGAATTTAAATATTGACCCAATAATGAATCTTTGGAGCGACTCTTCCGTTGCTATATCGTGGGTAAATACTAAAATACACATCCGTGACATTTTCGTGTCCAATAGAATTAAAAGTATTCAAAAAATCCCAAATTTGATTATTCGCCACGTTTCCGGTCAAGAAAACCCATCCGACTTAGGAACACGCGGAATTTCCTCAGTAAAGGCTTTATCCTCCAACCTAATGTGGTGGAACGGCCCGCAATGGCTCTCACTCCCATCCACCTGTTGGCCAGACAATAAAGAGGTCAAGCCATTTCTCTCTAACGAATATAAAGGGCCAAAACAAGAGGTAACAGAGAACCCTATATTCGCGTTTGCCATTACCCAACACCAATCAATTTTTGATCTAACACACCACTCTAGACTATATAAAGCGTTGCGCTGTATAGCGTATGTTATTCGTTTTCTCTCCCATTTAAAACCAAAATCCAAAATATTTCCAATGCTTAAAGAAAAATACCCGTCACTGAAAATTAGTATAAAAGAATATAGACGTGCGCTTTCGAGTGTTCTTCAACAAGAACAGCGCTTATTTCCACCCACTGATAAAAATAATGAATCACTAGGAATTTTTACCGACAACCAAAATATACTGAGGTCAAAAGGTAGACTAGGAAAATCTTCATTACCAATAAATACTATGGAACCGATTTACCTCCCGTCAAATTCTCATTTAACCGGACTTATTATTTACGAAACTCATCTCATACACCACCATTCCAGCCCTTTACTTACGTTGTCGATAATAAGACGACAGTATTGGATTCCTAAAGGTCGACGCATTGTTGAACGAATACTTTTTAAATCCTGCCTCCCGTGTAGGAAGTTTCAAGTTAAACCATTCGACCCACCCCCGTTCCCTCAATTACCCATTGAACGTGTATCTCCTTCCCGGCCGTTTTTAGCCACAGGCCTTGATTATTGCGGTCCACTACACATAAGGACCGATAAAAAATTTCCAAAAACCTCAACTACAAATACACCGAAGACAAAAAAGTTCTGGATTGTTATATGGGTTTGTTTGTCCACAAGAGGTATTTCCCTCGATTATGTGCCCGATTTAACTAGTGAATCCTTCCTACTCGCTTTTAGGCGATTTTGTGCCAAATTTTCACTATATGGAGACAAAGTTTTCTAAGCAGAATAATGATAGCAGAATACTGGTATTTAGATAAATTATTTCTCCTTTAAGTGCCGGAGTCGGAAATTTTAAGTATTTTGCAAGGCCAAGAAACCAGATTTATTCCTTTTTTTCGCCGCAGGCGAACATTTTGATAATTTTGGAAGGCTGTATGCAGAAAAATTTCATTTTTGAACATCTTGCGATTTTTTTAAAAAATTTCAATCATTAGGTGAGTAAATTTTTGGCGTCTTGGCACGCCAGAAGACAAAAATTACGCCAAACACAAATCGCCAGATGCCATTACGCTCAGCCCTGCTCACTACTGCCCTTTATGTCATGCACACAAAGCAGAATAGAGAAATTATCAAAGTCAACAGGGTTCGCACACTTGCGTTAAATTATTAGAGGTAAGGGATTTTTAAAATTTTTCAACTAATTCAATTAGTAGTGGTGATAAACAATAGGTACTTGCTAAAGGAGAGAAATAGCTATTGCCCTGCTGCTTTACACAGTTAACTCATAAAGTTTTTCAATGAAATTAAATACATAGATTATATTTGAAATAGTTTTAAAATTTTTTAAAAAAACTCAGAAAATTAGAGATAGAAATCATAATCATTTAACTTTTATTTATTCGTTTTCTGTTCTGTTTGATTTTTATTTGTTTTCTTATTTATTCTTAGTTGTTTTTTATAACAGGCATTACATATATATTGTTCAGGCTTTGAATGGCGGTACCAATTTGATGTGTTTGTTTCCTCGCACACAAAACATTTTCGATCTTTTGTGATTCGCTAAAATATGTATAAATATCGAATTTAAACTAGTTCTCAGACAAAAAATTTTTTAAGAAATTTTCCTAATTTTCATGGACTGATTTTGTCCAGGGTTGCTTCTATCTAACATGATTCATTTTTTTAAGTTTCGATTTCCCACAATCGGCAAAAGTAATGTTCTTGTAGATATTTAGGAAAATATTGAAATCCATAAACATTATTGTTAATTATAATAGAACAAAATTAAACCATGTTAGTTTGATAAAAATTTACTTCAGGTCTCATTTTGTCATTATATATTCTATACTTGTGACAATTATCGCACATATAATGTTCTTTAAGGTATATATACCAATGTTTTGTTTTTGTGACTCTACAATTGAAACAGTTTCGTTTATTTCCTTGAATTATTCTTTCTAAAATAATTAAAAATAATATGTATATTTTTAGGCATATAAACAAATAAAAAATGAAAAATACTATTTACTTATAGCACTTCCAATGTAAATGATTCTGTTTTTTAATTCTTTCGGATAATCAACTTTTTGTTTTTCTAACAATTCAATTTTATATCCAATTAAATTAATTTCCGTCCAATAACTTGATAAAAGTTTGTTTTTATAGGATTCAATAATTTTTTCAATTAAGCTCAAATTATTATTATTTTCAATTTTGTACAATATTGAAGTTTCATAACAACTATCATTTTCAATAAAATTATTATTACGGAGTACCTTAAATTTAACACATAATTTGAGTAGTATAGAGCGGTCGCTTTTAATTTTATTGGTATTATTTTTTTCTTTGCTAGCTTCTGTGACACTTTGGAATGGTATTCTATTAATAAAAACATACCAATTTTTCAAACCCAGGCAGAAAATTTTGAATTATTTCATTATTAGTAATTTCAATCACAATTTTCTTTTTTAATTGAACAGATGAAATATATTTTGATCTATCACTTATTTCAACTTCAAACATTTTTTTATCTAGATTTACTTCAATTGAACGCAAATATCCATCTATATTAGACTTATAGCTATCATATTTATTATTTTTCTTTTCATTTACCTTCAACACAAAACGATCCTTAAATCCAACATTTTTTAGATAGATATATTCTCTTTTTTCTTTCCAATCATCAATTATTTTTACATCAACTTTAATTAATTTTCCATTACATTGAATATTCAAAAGGAAAATAAAAATTAATATAATAACGCTCATAAATTTAATCACCTAAAATTTTAATAATTAAAATATAATTTAATATTGTTTAAACAAAAGCCTTATAAATAAATGAATAACGATATAATAACCTCACTGATTAATTTGTCTTGATGTAACTAATGCCCTATTTATTTTTAAATTTAGCCTCCATTTTATAATGATAATTATTCAATAAGAATATAAATATTGCGAAATTTATCCCGCCTGATTTTTATTTATTTGTCAAGTTGTCGGCATTAAAAAAATATTTGCCCTTTTTGTCGATTGAATTGCTTAATATGTATGATTTGTAAATAAATTTTTGTGTCTTGTTTGCCGTTAGGCCTTCTCTATGCCTTTTTATTTATTTAAAATCTAAAAACGAGACCCTAAATTTTAACAAAAATATGGAGACTGAATAAATATAAAATTAAGGTCATATATTTTTTAATAATTTAATTGAATTATTGAAATTTTTTATGCAGATAGATACATAATACATAGCCAAGTTACGGACTATAATCAAATTTTATAGTTTCGTTCATACCTGATGTTCATATTATTTTCATAAATAGAGACTATTGTTTTCAAACGTTATGATACATTACTGTCAATGCAACAATTCATTAAAACGAGTATGTAGATTGAGGTTAAGGCTACATCACTATTGTTAGTTATATAGTTTTTTAAGTAATAAACATTTTATTTATCTAGCCGGCATAAAAAATTTCCATTAAGCAATTCAATTATTTAAAAATTATATGCCCTCAATTTTATATTTAATCAGTCTCGCAATTATTTTAAATTTATGGTCTCGTTTTTAGATTTTAAATAAATATAAAAACCTAACGACGAACAAGACACAAAATCTTATTAACAAATCATACATATTAAGCATGACAATCGACAAAAAGTGCATATATTCTTCTTTTGATACCGACCTTGAGAAATAAATAAATAAAAATCATGCGGGATTAATTTCGCAATATTTTAATGTTTATTGACTTTATATGCTTATAAATTGAAGGCTAAATTTAAAAATAAATAAGTTTTGTTACATCAAGACAATTTAATCAGTTATTTTATTATTTTTTTATTTATTTTATTATTCGCCTGGTTTCTAAGCAATATTAAATTTAATTTTTAAAATTAAAATTTTAGATGATTAAATTTTTGAGCATTATTATCTTATTTTTTATTTTCCTTTTGAATATTCAATGTAACGGAAAATTAATTAATGTTGATGTAAAAATAATTGATGATTGGAAAGAAAAAAGAGAATTTATTTATTTAAAAAATATTGAAATACAGGATCGTTTTGTGTTGAAAGTAATTGAAAAGGCAAATAATCAACATGATAGCATTAATAAAAATATAGATGGATATTTGCGCCCAATTGACTTAAATCTAGATAAAAATATGTTTGTAGTTAAAATAAGTAATGAATCAAAATATATTCCATCTGACCAGTTAAAAAAAAATTTTGATTGAAATTACTAATAATGAAATAATTCAAAATTTTCTGCATGGGTTTGCAAAAATGGTATTTTTTTATTAATAGAATTTCATGTCCATAGTGTCACAACAAGCTAGGAAAGTAAAAGTAACAGCAATTAACTGAAAATCGGGGCTATAACTACTCTAATTTGTGTTAATTTTAAGGTACTCCGAAATAACAAATTTATTGAAAATGATAGTTGTTATGAAACTTCGTTATTGTACAAGAGTGAAAATAATTTTAGCTCAATTTATGAAAATATAGAAAATTACAAAAACAAACTTTTGTCAAGTTATTGGACTGAAATTAATTTAATTGGATATAAAATTGAATTGTTAGGAAAACAAAAAGTTGAATATCCGAAAGAATTCGAAAGCAAAATTATTGAAATTGGAAGTAAAATAAGTAAATATTTTTTTAAATCTTTTATTAGTTTTTATACAATATAAATTTTATTCTTTATTTTAGGAGGAATAATTGAAGAAAATAAACGCAACTGTTTCAATTGTAGGTTTACTATACCCATAAGATGGTGTAGATATCTAAAAGAATATTATTTGTGCGATCCATGTCAGAAATATAAAATATATAATGACAAAATGAGGCTTGAAGGAAATTTTTATAAAACTATTATGGTTTAAATTTATTCATATCATAATTTACAATGATTTTATAAAAGTATATTAGTGTTAAATGTTTCGAGCACATATATAACATTATTTGGGATTTTTGTGAATCTATATGGTTTTCAATATTTCTCTAAATATCTATAAGAACGTTACTTTTGCCACTTGGGGGAAATGGAAACTTAGACAAAAGGAGAGAATCCCTGGACAAAATCTGTTCGATGAAAGTTAGAAAATGGCTTTAAAAAATTTTATCTGAGAA